GTCCTCTCCTGGCTTCTGTGGGCCCCCCGCCACTCACATGCACATACAAACACTCAGAAACACACATATATACATCAATAATTTTTTTTTTAATTGAGGTAAGGTGTCTCACTATGTAGACCAGGCTGGCCTCAAACTCATAGAGCTCTGCCTGCCTCTGCCTCCTGAGTGCTGGGATTAAAAGAGGTGCACCACCACACCCGGCCAATGGCATTTCTTTTTAAAGAATAAGAAAGCCTTATTAGAAGACGTGTCTGGGTGCTAAGACTCAAAGGCAACCAAAGAGACAATACACAGATCTTTGGGAGAATATTGGGATAATTCCAAGAAAACTGCTAGTGCAAATGCCCTAAGGTTGGAAGAAGGTGGAAGAAAGGGCTGAAGTGATGGCTCAACAGTTAAGAGCACTGGCTGCTCTTGCAGAGGGCCTGGGTTCGATTCTCAGCACCCACATGGCGGCTAACAACTTTCCGTAACTCCAGTTCCAGGGGATCTGATGCCATCTTCTGACTTCCAAGGGCATTGCATGACAGAGGTGCATTTACATACATGCAGGAGGCAATACACTCTTATACATAAAGTAAAAAATAAAATATTTTTAAAAAAAGAAGTTGGGGGGTTAGGGATTTAGTTCAGTGGTAGAGTGAAGGCCCTGGGTTCAGTCCTCAGCTCCAAAAAAAAAAAAAAAAAAAAAAAAAAGTAAAAAAAGGAAGTTGGAAGAGAGCTAGGCTTGGTGGTGCACACCTTTAATCCCAGTGCTCAGGAGGCAGAGGCAGAGGCAGGAGGATCTCTGTGAGTTCAAGGCCAGCCTGTCTATATAGTAGTTCCAGGCCAGCTAGGGCTACAGGGAGACCCTGTCTTAAATTAAAAAAAAAAAAAACTGTAGTAAAACTATCCCCCCCTAGGAGTGCATGGAGACCTAGAAGGATATTTGTGTTTCTTTTTTTATTTTTTGTGATGCTGAGGATGGAACCCAATGACTCATATGTGTCAGCCAAGTACTTTACCACATTACATCCCAGCTCACATATCTGATTCTTAAGTGTTATTTAGAATGACCCAGAGAGTTCATTTAAAGTACAGATTGCAGGGCTGAGGAGAGGATTCAGTGGGTAAAACTGCTAGCCAGGCATGGTGGTGCACTCCTTTAAACCCAGCACTTGGGACGCACAGACAGATTTCTGTGAGTATGAGGCCAGCCTGGTTTATATAGCAAGTTCCAGGCTGTCCAGCACTACATAATAAAACCCTCAAAAAAAAAAAAAATGCTGGGTATGATGGTACACAGCTTTAATCCCAGCACTCAGGAGGCAGAGGTAGGTAGAGCTCTCTGAGATCAAGGCCAGCCTGGTCTACATATCAAGTTCAGGCCAGCTGGGGCTACAGGGAGACCCTGTCTCTAAATAAATAAACAAATAAATGGATTAATAAATAAAGAAAAAGAAGGAAGGAAGGAAAGACAGTGGCATACATTCGTAATCCTAGCATTCCTACAGAGTTAGGCAGAGACAGAAAAATCACCTGGAAGCTCTTTGGCAAGCTAGCCTGGAGCACACAGTGCAGCAATAGAAAAAAGAGAGACAGCGCCCCAGTGAGGTGGGAGTAGACTCCCCAAAGTTGTCCTCCCATCTCCACAGGTGTGCCATGGTAGTCTCACACCTGCACACACATATACACATACAATAAATAAGTCTACTGTAAGAAGATAAATGAGGGAGACTGGAGAGATGGCTCATCTGTTAAGAGCACTTCCTGGTCTTGCAGAAGACCCAAGTTTGGATCCCAAAACCCATGTTAGGCAGCTCACAACCACCTGTAACTCCAACTACAGGGGATCTAATGCTGTCTTCTGACATCTGTGGGCCCCCCCTCCTACACACATACACATAGATAAATAATAGCATAAATCTTTAAAAATAAGAGCTGGGCATGGTGGTACATGCCTTTAATCCCAGCACTCAGGAACAGAGGCTGGCCCAGATCTCTATGAAATCAAGGCCAGCCTGGTCTACATAGTGGGCTTTAGGCCAGTTGAAGCTACAGGGAACCCCTGTCTCAAAAATAATTTTTTTTTAATTTGAAAAAATAAGTAGATGTTGACTTTTGTTTGCTGTATTTTACTTAAAAAAAAAAAAAAGATTTTTTTTGTTTTTGGTCTTTTTGAGACAGGGTCTCCCTGTAGCCCCAGCTGGCCTGGAACTCACTATGTAGACCAGGCTGGCCTTGAACTCACAGAGATCCCCCTGTCTCTGCCTCCTGAGTGCTGGGATTAAAGACGTGTGCCACCACACCCGGCTATTTTTGTTATTTTAAAAAATTATGTATGTCTGTGTATGGGTAAGAAGCTGAGCCATTTCTCCAGCCCCTTGTTTTTTGAGACAGGTTCTTGCTGTATAGCCCAGTCTTATCTTGAACTCATGGTTCTCCTGCCTCAAACTCCTAGTTATCAGAATTATAGGTGTGCTTCTTAGATGAGGATTTTGATGCATGGGTTTGCCAGACCTCACATGGAGAAACATCACTGGAGGCAGTGGTAAGTGGAAGAGTCCTCAGTAAATAACCAAGTGTGCCATGGTAGTCTCACACCTGCACACATGTATACAGACAAGTGTGGTATTTAGACAGGCCTAACCTGCCTAGCTCTGTACTTTTCATGGAGCTAGGTACTTGCTGGCATGCCATACTGTTTCCCCTGGGAAGTGCCTTAGGACAGTACTCCTCCAGCAGCCTGATCTTTATTTCACAGAATTGGAAGACTGAAACAGAGCTGGCAAGGACTAGACTAAGGGCAGGTCTCAAAACTACTCAACCTGAAGCTGAGTGTGGTCCACCAAGCCTGTAGTCCCAGCAGAGGCCGGTGGATCTCTGTGAGATCGAGGCCAGCCTGGTCTACATAGTGAGTACCAGGCCAACTGGGACTACAGGGATACCCCATCTCAAAAAGACCAAAAACAAAAACCAAAGGAAAAAGAAAGTACTTGTCTGAGACAGTGGTCTTAGGGCAGTTCTCGAGATGAGAGAAGGCCTAAGTGCAGCATGAATGCAGGTTCCTGGACACTGGATAGGCCACAGCATTAGAACATCTGGGAGATCCCAGACTCCGGAGCAGGGCTTAAAATTTAAAATTAAACACCCAGAGTCACAGCTGCATTAGTTTTAGCTGTGTGTCTGGACAAGTCATTTTGCTCTTGGAACTCAATTTATTCCATCTATAAAATGGAGTCAGTAATTCCTGTTTCAGGAAGCAACATGAGAATTATGTGAGGTGGCACACTAAGCAAACTGACTCTGGAAACACTCAATACCTGAAGGCAGTAATCTGGTTCCATTCACTTCTCACTCAATCCCATGAGTTAGTACTATTTTAGTACCATTTTAGTTAGTACCATTTTTCAGATGAGAAAAGTGAGGTTCTGCGATATGCAGTAAGTTGTACAAAATCACATCAGCTGGGAAGTAATGCAGACAAGATTTCAAGCTGGGTATTCTGGCCTCAGAATATACTTAATCATAACAATGTTTCTCTTGACCTTGCTGTCCTGTTGATGTGAAGAGTGAGTTGATATATGTAAAAAGCTTAGGATGCTGTGTAGAATTTGGTAAGTGCTTTGTAGGTATGAGCTAGGTTTTTGTTGTTGTAATATTTTATTTATTATTTTATTTTATGTATACTTGTATATTGCCTGCATGTATGTAAATGCACCCATGTTGTGCAGTGCCTGCAGAGGACAGAAGACAGTGTCACCCAGGAACTAGAATTACAATGGACAGTTGTTAGCTGCCATGTGGGTGCTGGGATTTGAACCTGGGTCTTTTTTTCTTTTTCTTTTTTTTGTCTTTTTGAGAGATGGTCTCCCAGTAGCCCCAGCTGGCCTGGAACTTACCATGTACACCTGGCTAGCCTCCAACGCAGAGATCCACCTGCTGCTGCTGCCTCCCAGTGCTGGGATTAAAGGTGTGCGCCACCACACCTGGCTTGAACCCAGGTCTTCTGCAAGAACAGCCAGTGTTCTTAACTGCTCTCTCCATGGGCTCCATTTAAAAATATATATTTTATTTATTTTTTATTTTAGAGGTTTTTTGTTTTGTTTTGTTTTTTTCCAAAGCAGTTCTAGGAATCAAGACCAGCAGAGTCTCATGCATGCTAGGCAGGCATTTTACTGCTGAGCTATATCCCCAGCCTCCTTTTTTTCTCTCTCTTAGGAGGCTAGAGATGTAGAGTAGTCACAAGGCCCTGGGTTCAAGTCTCAAAACCACCAAAAAAAATTGCTGCTTGGTGCGCTGCTGACTCTGAGGAGCCTCTCACCCCAAGGGCTCCTGGGTCCTCCTTGGGTCAGCCGGATGAACTGCTTCTTTAGTCCTTCTCTAGAATAAGGACGCTGAACTCATCTTTTTTTTTTTTTTTTTTTTTTTTTTTTTTTTTTTTTAGAGACAGGGTCTCCCTGTAGTCCCAGCTGACCTGAACTTACTATGTAGACCAGGCTGGCCTTGACCTCACAGAGATCCACATGCCTCTGCATCCCAAGTGCTGGGATTAAAGGCGTGTGCCACCACGCCCGGCTTGAACTCATCTTTTTTTCCCCACCACCCCTTTGGCTCAGTTCAGTTCCATCTTCTTTCACCCCAGGGTCGTAACTTAGAAACCAGCTCCTGTGCTTTTCAGATGAGGACATGGGTCTTTAAACATCTAGTGAGTGATCTGCAAGCCTGAACATAGAACCTCAGCCTTGGCCTCCCACTCTTTGGGCACACCTGGCTCTCTACTCTTCCCACCCCACCACTCCCCAGCACAGCTGCTAAGCTCCCTTTAAGAGGATCTGCCTAATCCTCTTCTCTTCATCCCCTTGGGAGGATGAGCTGGTGTTAAGACTAATGCAGCTGTTAATCCTATTTCTTCCCAACCATGATCCTAGGAACAGCTGTGTGGATGATGTCTGGGCTCTGGACCAGAAAGTAGGGATTTCAACAAGAGCTGGGAACCCAGGAGGCTTCACTAGCTCAGACATAGCCATTGTGACTGAAAAAGAGACTTCTCACTGCTGGCAGTAGCTCAGGCTGCCTGGCGAGTGAATGAGCTCCCCATTACAAGAGTTTTGGGAGCAGGAGCTAACAGGGATTCCACAGTAGAAGATGGATGAAGATTTCTTGTCTGAGGTGGAGTCTCTTATGACTCTTATGACAGAATTTTCTATGACTAGTTGATTCTGTAAGAGCTGACCAACCAGGGGGAAGGTAACACACGTATGCAGGACCCATCACTTCCAGACACTGCCAACTACCACACCCAACCCATTGGCTCCTCCTTTCTCTGGAGCCAGGTCTGTCTTCACTGGGCATTTGGGGACTAGGTGGGATCTGTATCTGCATCCTGACCAAGTCCTTGAATGGAGAAAAGAAGATTGTAAAACCAATGGAACCTAGGCATTCCAGGAATGCCAGATGGTTTGGAAAACAGAGTAGAAATAGTTGTATCCTTGGTGATCTTGGCCCATCTCTTAGCCCCCTCACCTGTTCATTTCCACCTTCAATGAGCAGATCACAGGAGAGACTTGAACTCACTGTCAAACCATCCCATGGTTTGGGCTGATAGGGTTACCTCTGGGGGTGGAGCGATGGCTCAGCCATAAAGAGCACTTGCTGTTCATACAAAGGATCCAAATTTGTTCTAGCACCCAAATGGTAGCTCACAACCATCTGTAACTGCAGTTGCAGGGGATCTGATACTCTCTTATAGCCTCTATGGGCACCAGGCACACATGTGCATTTATATACATGCAGCCAAACACACACATAAAAATAATTTTTTTTTTAAAGAAAAGGTAAGGTTATCTTTGAGAACTTGAGGAGGCTTTGGTGAGGAGGTAAACCGTGAAGAATGGCAAAGAGATGGCGTTGGTCTAACTTTGCTTCTCTTGCAGAGAAAGCCCACCCACTGAAGCAATGGAGGTGGAGGCTACAGAGACCAGGTCCCCAGCACCCTGCTACAAGCGCTCCGGCCGGCGATATAAGTGCCTATCGTGTACCAAGACCTTTCCTAATGCTCCCAGGGCAGCCCGTCATGCTGCCACACATATACCTGCAGATTGCACCGAAGAGGTGGCCGGGGGGCAGCCAAAGGTGGATACAGAACCCAAGGCAGAAGAAGCCAGTGGGGACAAGGTGTCAGGTTCAGTGGCCAAGCCTCGGCCCTATGCGTGCCCACTGTGCCCCAAGGCCTACAAGACAGCCCCTGAGCTGCGCAGCCATGGGCGCAGTCACACAGGCGAGAAACCCTTCCCCTGCCCAGAATGCGGCCGCCGCTTCATGCAGCCCGTGTGCCTACGTGTGCATCTGGCCTCGCATGCTGGTGAGCTGCCCTTCCGCTGTGCACACTGCCCCAAGGCCTATGGTGCGCTGTCCAAGCTCAAGATCCACCAGCGTGGCCACACGGGGGAGCGGCCCTATGCCTGCACTGACTGTGGCAAGAGCTTCGCGGATCCCTCGGTGTTCCGCAAACACAGGCGCACGCACGCAGGCCTCCGGCCCTACGCCTGTGAGCGTTGTGGCAAAGCCTACGCGGAGCTCAAGGACCTGCGTAACCACGAGCGGTGAGAGCTCTGGATAGCGGAAAGCAATGGTGGGAACAGACTAAGCCAGTGGGTAGTGGGTGGGGTCAGTGTTCCGGGCAGCTGGGCGCTTGGGTAAACTGGTTGGACAGGGCTCAGGAATGTAGCACAGCACACTGTCTAGAGATGGAGTCCTGAGTGTGGATGGGGACGAGCTGGCGTCGGTTCAGCACTGCTGGAAAGGGGGCAAGGTGTGGGCAGCCACACACGGGGTCTTTGGGGACCCTACATGTGGGTACGGTCAGGGAAAGATAGGTCCTCTCTAAGGATTGTTACTGGTTTTGTTTTGAAACAGGTGGCCTGGAACTCGCTATTGTAGACGAGGCTGACCTTGACCTCATAGTGATCCGGCTGCCTCTACCTCCTCAACAGTGGGTTTTAAGACTTGTGCCACCCGCCCGGCCCTTTAGGGTTTTTTTTTTTTTTTTTTTTTTTTTGTATTTTGAGACAGGGTCACACCTCTAGCCCTGGCTGGCCTGGAACTCAGAGATCGTCCTTCCTCTGCCTCCCAGTGCAGGGATTAACAAGTTTTCTTACTAGGGTGCAGCCCTGGGGCTCTTAGGGATTGGGCAGTCCTCTAGATTGCAGCCTAGAGAGGCAGGGGACTGCGGCCCTCATGACTGGCTCTCCATCCACAGGTCGCACACCGGAGAGCGCCCCTTCCTCTGCTCAGAGTGCGGTAAAAGCTTCTCCCGGTCGTCCTCACTCACCTGCCACCAGCGCATCCACGCGGCTCAGAAGCCCTACCGCTGTCCGGCTTGCGGCAAGGGCTTCACGCAGCTCAGCTCCTACCAAAGCCACGAGCGCACGCACTCAGGCGAGAAGCCCTTCCTGTGCCCTCGTTGCGGCCGCATGTTCTCCGACCCATCCAGCTTCCGCCGCCACCAACGGGCACACGAGGGCGTGAAGCCCTACCGCTGTGAGAAGTGCGGCAAGGACTTCCGGCAGCCCGCTGACCTGGCCATGCATCGGCGGGTGCATACTGGGGACCGACCGTTCAAGTGCCTGCAGTGCGACAAGACATTTGTGGCGTCCTGGGACCTCAAGCGACATTCTTTGGTGCACTCGGGCCAGAGGCCATTCCGCTGTGAGGAGTGTGGGCGAGCCTTCGCCGAGCGGGCTAGCCTCACCAAGCACAGCCGTGTGCACTCGGGTGAGCGCCCTTTCCACTGTAATGCCTGCGGGAAATCCTTTGTGGTGTCTTCAAGCCTCAGGAAACACGAGAGGACCCATAGAAGCAACGAGGCTCCAGGGGCCGCCCCCCAACCGGAGTTGGTACTGGGACTGGCGCTGCCTGTGGGCGTTGTGGGGGAGGGCTCTGCTGCCCCCGGAGTAGGTGCAGGGCTAGGGGACCCTCCGGCAGGGCTGCTAGGGTTACCCCCTGAGTCAGGCGGTGTGATGGCCACACAGTGGCAAGTGGTGGGCATGACGGTGGAACATGTGGAGTGCCAGGATGCTGGTATTGGGGAAAATCCTGGTCCCTTGGGAGGGGCAGGAGAGGTGGGGAGCAAGGAGGTGGATGAGAAGCCCCCCCAGTTTGTGTGTCGCGAATGCAAGGAGACCTTCTCCACACTAACATTGCTGCGTAGGCATGAGCGCTCACACCCAGAGCTCCGGCCCTTTCCCTGCACCCAGTGTGGCAAGAGCTTCTCAGACAGGGCTGGGCTGCGTAAGCACAGCCGCACCCACAGCTCTGTGCGTCCCTATGCCTGTCCCCACTGTCCTAAAGCTTTCTTGAGTGCCAGTGATCTGCGTAAGCATGAACGTACCCACCCTGTGCCCATCGGGACCCCCACACCCCTGGAGCCCCTTGTGGCTTTGCTAGGAATGCCTGAAGAGGGGCCAGCTTGAAGTTCATAGCTCTCTACCACACTCCTGGGAGCCCATCCTCAGTCTACAGATTCTTACCCCTCCGCAAGTAGCTCAGCTATCCACTAAGAGAGCTGGGGACAGCAGAGGCTAGCCGCAGCTGTGAGAGACACTCATTAAAGCATTCACTTTGACACTGAGTCGTCTTCTGTGATCTGGTTGGGGTAAGCTTCAGTGGAGACCCCTGGATTAACACAGACATTAGAAGGGTCTTGGTGATGTTTTGTTTTCCTTTGTTTGGGGCAGGCTCTTACAGCCCAGCTCCCCCAGGAACTCACTGTGTAACCCAGGCTGGCCTTAAACTCAGTCTCCTATCACAACTCCCAAGTACTAGGATAATAGGTGTGCACACCACTCTGGGCCCCTAGAAAGGTCTTGAGATACATTGTTTCCTAAAGTTTTTTGGGATGTCTTATGAAAGAATTCCACAGGAAGTTCTCTGCACCTTTGGATAATCTTGGTGATTAAAAGATACCTTAAAGGCTTCAAGTCCTGTAGTGAACAAATTTAGCTTTGTTTAGCCCACACTCAGCACTATTGAAACCTTTTACTGAGTAGTTCTGCCTTTTTGTAGATAATAAACTGAGGCTAAACATTTATCTTTTCTGTAACAAATTAGAAAACATACTTGGAGGAAAAGATTCCTATTTACAACAAAACCCATAAATTACAAAAGAATAAGCATCACAAGAAATGTCTGCTGGGTGTGGTAGTGCTTGGTTTTAGTCCCAGCATGCCAGAGGCAGAGCCAGGGTGATTTCTTAAGTTCAAGGCCAGCCTGGTCTACACACACAGGGAGTTCCAGGCCAGGCGGGGCCACAGGGAGACCCTCTCTCAAAAAGAACAAAAAACAAAAAAGAAATATCTAAACCTCTAAGAAGAAAACATGGGGTTGGGGATTTAGCCCCTGGTTTCAGTCCTCAGCTCCAGAAAAAAAAAAAAAAAAAAAAAAAAAACTAAACCATGAAAAAAAAAAACAGGGGGTTGGGTATTTACCCCCTGGTTTCAGCCCCCAGCCCAAAAAAAAAAAAAAAAAAAAAAAAAAAGGAAAAATATCTATGGCCTGAGAGGAAAGGGAAGTTATTGTGTACTTGAATGGAAAGAGTTACTGAAAGAGGTTAACAACTGGGATTCAGCTTGTGGTAGAGCACTTAATCTACCTTGTGTGAGATCATGGGTTTTATCTCCAGCACTGGGGAAATAAAGTTGGCTCCAGAGCTGGAGAAATGTCATAGCAGCTAACAGTATCTGGTGCTCTTGAAGAGGACTCAGATTCAGTTCCCAGCACCCACATGGTGGCTCACAACCATCTATAACTCCAGTTCCAAGGAATCCAATGCCCTCTTCAGTCCTTCAAGCACCAGGCATCCATGTGGTGCACATACATACATGCAGGCAAACACTCACACTTATAGGATATAAATAAATCTTTTTTAAAAGTTGGCTCCCCCTGCTTAATCCTTAAATTTATTGCCATTGCAGCTTAGGCTAGCCTTAAGTTCACAATATAGCACAGGATGTCTTCAAATTTGTGGCAAGCCTCTTGTTTTAGCTTCCCAAGCGTATATATCACACCTAATATGTCTTTATCATAAATTCCTAGAAAAATATCCCAGGATTTTCCTTCCTGTGTGTTTGTTGTTACTTTATGTCTCATGATGCCAGCTAGTTGTCAATGCAGTGAAACCAAACTTGATGGGATAGGAGCAGATTTTTCTGCCATTTTCCTAGGCTTACAAGATTTACATTAAATCTAGGGCTGGTCACTATACACAATATTTAACCAATTTCCTCAGCTCTATGATAATCAATGATTTCAAATGATCACCAGTGTAACTGTGTCATCATCACAGTTAGAAAACAGATGACTTTGGAGCATGGCTTAGTAGGGGCCCCAGTTTGCCTGTCTTTGCATTATTGATGTTTTTGAGAGCATCTACCAGGACATTAGTGTGCACTGGTATGGTGGGGTAGAACAAGGATAGAAAGTGGCCAAAGGATTTTTTTAAACCAAATTTGAAAATCCAAAACTCATGTAACATAGTCCTTTTATTTTTCATTTATTTTAATTGTTTATCTTTTGATGTTGGGTTTGAACCCATTATCTCCCATGTGCTAAGCATTTGTCTACCACTAAGTTATACCTCCAACCCACAATACTTTTAAAAAAAATTATATATGTGTGTGTGAGAGAGAGAGAGGTATTTGACATGCTAAAAATCAAAGCCCTGGAATTAAAAAAAAATCTTAGTGGCACAGCATAAAAGTGGAGTGATAGAGGGGTTCAGAAACTGCCCTGAGTGTATCTGTGAATTTATTCTTTTTTTTTTTTTTTGAGACAGGGTCTTCCTGTAGCCCCAGCTGGCCTGGAACTCACTATGCAGATCGGGTTGGCCTAACTCTCCACTTGCCTCTGCCTCCCGAGTGCTGGGATTAAAGTCGTGCACCACCATACCCAGCTTTATTCTTTATTTTTAATTCTTGCAATATTGGGAATTGAACCAGGAGCCTTACACATGTGAGGCAAACTCTTTACCACTGAACTGTATCTCTAATCCTTTAATTTTTAAATTTTGAGGCAGGGTCTCACTAAGTTAATTAGACTGGCCTTGAACACCCTGGGAAACCTGGGTAGGCTTTGAAATTTGATTTTCCAGCTTCAACCTCCTGAGTAGCTGGGATTACAGGCCTGCACCTCCAAGCACAACACATTTAACACATTTCATTCATTAATTTACTCATTCTTTTTAAGACTGTCTTGCTGTGTAGCCCAAGCTAGCCTTGGATGATGTTTCTCCTTTAGCATCTAAAGTGCTGGGATTACAAACAAACACTGCTATACCCAAAATTTGTCTATTTTATGACAGATGTGATAGCTCACATCACATTAGGGGAAAAATAAACTAGTACATAGCTTTCCTTGCAATATGTCTAATATAAGGCCCTGAATTCAATCTTCAGCATCACACACACAAGATACCTCAAAAACGTTGGTTGGTTAGATACAGTGACATATGCCTATAATCTCAACACTTGGAAGGTAGAAGCAGGAGTTCAAGACCAGCCTTGGCTAGATGGCATATCTGAAGCCAGTTTAAGGAATCGTCAAAGGGCCAAGTTACATGGAAGTCCTCAGATTCCCATGGAATTTGTATTGTTTTGTTTATTCCTTTTTTTTTTTTTTTTTTTTTTTTGAGAGAGAGAGAGGGTCTCATTATGTAGCCCTGGCTGTTCTGGGACTCTTTGTAAACTAGGCTGACCTCAAACTCAGAGATTCGCCTGCCGCTGCCTCCCAAAGTGCTGGAATTAAAGGCATATGCCACCACACCTGAAAAAATTTTATTTTTCCTTTTTTTT